CTTAGACGCAACATATTATGTTATAATTCGACTCGTAATAACTATACATCTGACATATTTTATATTATTACTATAATTATAGACGGGAATATAAACATGCGAGTTCTTTTGTGCAGTTGTGAATCTAAATGAACATCGTGATCTTTAAACACGAGTTAAAGAAACACGACGCACTTGACCAATCAGGAAGTAAGTATGTCTGTAGATGATTGTTGTATTATTATGTGATTACATAAAATTAACTATAATAATGACTATATAATGACATATTATGCAAAATCTGGCAAAATCTCTTACCACAGTTTGGGACAGTGGATGCGTTCGTTATAAGAATGAAGGTCAGTGTGTGTGTGTGTGTGTTTTCTTATAGCAAACCCACATCGGCCATATCTGCTGTGTCCACCGAGGAGAATCGAACACCTGATTTTAGCGTTGTAAATCCGAAGACTTACCGCTCTCCCAACTGGAGACGAATGAAGGTCAACTCCCATTATTCGATTAAATAACCCAAGAAATGGCGGTGGATGCTGTTGACTAGCGGCTTTCAAAGTTAGGTGCGCTCGTGTAGCTTTGCGCGAATATCCGAAACAAACAATTTACCATTCTCTGCCGGTGAACATTGTAACTAGTGTTTGTAATGTTAACGGATCTCGTATTTTTGCAGTTGACAAGATAGCTGAGTATTATGTGAGAATGAAATTTTGTTTCATGCTTTGTGGCTCTCACCATAAATGCTATGCGAGAAGAAAAAAAACTGAAACCTAACACCAGCCATAGCATGCTTTAAAACCCAAACTAATTCAAAGAAACGTTTATTTAACTTAATGTAGAAGTGTAAAATAGTGAAGCAAGAAATATCTTTGAGACTAAATTGATAAGAAACACGTTTGACTGCAGTTTTTTTGTTGTTGTATTTTTAAATCTAGTTTCTACATTACAGATTTCAAACCATAACTGTGTGTAAAATTAGCATTCCAGGAATAGCTTTTGTATCTTACAAGTTATTGTCCTAGAATTCTTTATTCCAACGTCAACAGTTATTAGCTATTGTAAACTTATGACAGCCGCTGCAACTGTTTTAATGTGTATCAGCAGTATAAGAAATTGAGTAATTTGCATAAACACGTAAGCTAGCGCACCAAGGTGGTTAGGCCTGTGATATTCAAAGTACACTGATATCCTGTTTAGATAGTGACAAGTATCCACAGCACACAGTTTCCGGAACTATCGCGCCGTGAGAATAAATTGAACATCAACAGTAACAGAAATGTATAACAAACGTAAATTAACAATTAAACAAAGTCTTTATTCACAAACACACACACACACACACAGTGGAGTCTTACTATCTCACTTTTATATTCCGTATTAAAGTAACATGTGGCTGCTGGGGCAAGAGAAAATGTAAAAACAAAACACATTCACACAGTACGAATATGAGATAAAGAAGAATATAGATTACTGTGTGGCTGCGAATCGAAGGGTCCGGAGTTCGAGACGAGATTTCATTGAGCACACTCCGCACCTTTAGCTGTGCGTTACAAAAAATAACATCAACTCCGTTGTTCGATTCAAAAAACCTGGTGGCAGATGTTCCTGGTTGGCTGCATTCACTCTTTGCAGTAGTTCAAAATCATGGTCGACCATGTCTGAATTACACTATCCTACCAAAAGTCATGGGGCACACCTCTGATTGCAGGAAAATGGGTGTGACGACGAAATGTGCAAACAGTTTGGCCGATAACGGTGATCAGTGGTTCGCTCGGAAGTCTTGTACGCCGAATGATGAGTACACGGAAAGAGCTAACAGAGTTTCTGAGCGGAAGTAGAGTTGGATGTCATTGGGGACAAAGTCTGTACGTGCTATTGCGCATCAATTAAACATTCCCACGTCGACATTTGGCAAGGTGATGAAGAAATGGAACTACACAGGTGACAATGAGCCCAAGAAACGACCAGGTAGGCGTAAAATGCTGGCTGACAGAAGCCGACATGCCTTGAGAAGGCTCGTTACCCCATCTCGCCGTCAGACCCTAAATAATATGTGTTTGGAGATGCGAGCAGGTACGAGCAGTCTTATAAGTGTTTCCACGACACGTCGAGAGCTGTATGCCATGAATTTTCAAGGAAGAGCTGCAGCCCACAAGCCGTTGATAACAAAAATAAATGCGCAACGTCGATTGGCATGGGGTAAGGTACACCGAACGTGAACCGTGGATCAATGGAAATCGGTCCTGTGGAACGACGAGTCACGCTACACGCTCTTCCAGTCTGATGGACGTGTTTGGATATGGACGATGCCTGGAGAACGCTTATTACCTGAGTGTGTTGTACCAACAGTGAAGTTTGGGGGTGCTTCTCGTGGTATGGACTAGGTCCATTGGTCGTAGTGCATGGATCCAAGAATACTGAGTCCTACATTGATGTTCTGAACAATTCTGTATGTCCAACATTGTGGGAATTTTATGGTACCTTCCAACATGATAACGCTCCTTGTCACAAAGAAAAGATTGTGAACACGTGGTTTGAAGAGAATAACATTGGAACATTGCAGTGGCTAGAACAGAGCCCCGACCTCAACGCGATAGAATATCTTTGGGATGAACTGGAACGCAGAATTAGGGCAAGACCAAGACGGCCATCTTCAGTAGTAGCGTACTAAGGTTTAAACGGAGGAGTGGCGCACAATACCACCAGCTTTCAACCAGAAATTAGTAGACAGTTTTCCACGACGCATTGAAGCAGTCATTGAGGCCAAAGGCGGGCCAACACACTATTAATTTATTAGTGTAAAGATATGTTTTATTCATAACTTTCCATGTCACATGACTTTTGGTAGGATATTGTATATGGTGTATCTGACCTTGTTTGTTTAGCCTACTTGCACGTAATGCGCCGTTCAACTAAGAAAATCCAGTTCGTCATTTAAGTTATATTTTAGTTGATGAAGTACCTAAACAGATTTGATTATTTCGTTAGAACGAGTATATTAATGCATATAGATTAAAACAAACATAACTGTTCATAACCAGAACGTGTAATTGTTTTTGTAGCTTTAAATAAGTAAACAATTTGGAGAGTTTTATTTCTTATTTACAAATCTATAAAAACGAATTAGTGATTCCTGTATATGCTATCGCTTCATCCTTTTTAGTTACAATATACTTTTTTGCTTTTCCTCTAGTCTTTCACTACTAAATTAGGGACGGCTAGCCCTCGTATAGTTCAAAACAAACCAAACAATTTGGGTTTTGCGTCTATAGGAAAAATTACTTTCTTAAAAAGAATATTTCGATGAGTATTTCACATATGGAAGGTCGCAGAAACTATGTGGGAATACAGAAGTACTATCTAATTTGTTTTGTTACAGAATCAAGAAAGGCCTGTAGGCTAAACCATCTGTATGGAGATATCTGGAAGATAGGAGTAATAACTCGTACTTGTTCTTACGTGTTTGAAAAATATTTATAGCTATTCTCCAGTGAACAAGTTAGTTGTTGCTCTTCTCAGCATTGTTTTTCTCTTTGCAACGAATGAACGTTCCATAGTTATTCGTTTGCGTACGCGAAAAAGCTGTCCAAGATCAATCTTGCTGCAAAGAGGACTTGCATGGTAATTCAAGTATTGCATAATTTAAAGATTTCATCCAGAGAGACCCACGCTGGAGGCCAAGCATATGGAGAGGCATATTCCATTTCGACAGGTCGACTTCAGTAACCTGGGTCTGAATCTTCAAAGGAGTTGAAGTCTTCTGATAGATTAGCACATTATCCAAAGAGGAAGACGAGGGAGTGTCTGTCATGTCCTGATGGCTAGGACGCTCGACTGGCAATCTGTGGGTCACGGGTTCAAATCCTGTTACCAACCATGCTCGCCCTTTCATTTGTGGGGACGTTATAAAGAGACGGTCAATCCAACTTTTCATTGGTAAAAGAGTAACTCAAGGGTTGGCGGTAGGTAGTATTGACTAGACGCCCGCTGTGTAGTTTATCGCTTCTAAATTATGGAAGGCCAGCACAAATAACCCTCGAGTAGTTTTGCGCGAAATTCAAACAAAGAAACAGATTGAGGAGTTGATGAAGTATGGAAACAATATTGAGATGTGGATGGATAAATACCATACAATGGACTAAGAACAATTAAAAGTATTCTCAAATACAGCCTTTTAAATCATATTTGTTTATGTTTGTTTAACAGAAGCTTATACCAGTTGTAATTATTAGTCACTGATAACAATGTTCGACAAGTTTTTAATTAACTTATTCTAACATAAATATAAAACACAGTTACTACCTTGAACTAACGTGTTTATATAACATAAAGGTAAAATATAAAGTGGCCGTTTTATCTTAAAATACCACAGTTACTACTGTAGTATAATTTCTTTCAATGATTTTAGCTGGGTAATATTACTGTTTTTAATTCTCGGAGGTTTCACATCGCTAAATAGTATGAGTTGTATGTGTTTATACTGCCCATCATGGGTTTATATATCTTCCATAAATGTTGTATATCTCTCTATTTGTCATGGTTTATTCGTGACAAATAATAAAGTTCGCCCCCCAGTCTACGGACTTGCAACGTTAGAAACCAGGTTTCGATACCCGTGGTGGGCAGAGCACAGATAGCCCATTGTGTAGCTTTGTGCTTAATTACAAACAAACAAACAATAAAGTTCCTTGTACAAAACAAAAATAGCAAACCCTTAAAGTTCAAACACATCCCTTTTCCTTAAAAATAAAAACGTGTGTATTTTATAGTGACAGTTTACCTCACGAAACGTTCTCTGTATTCATTAGTTTCGATTTTAATTCTTAGATTTTGTTGCATGAACATTGTTACTTAAATCAAACGAATACTTTTTGGTATTTCCTAATTCTCTAGGAAATGCGTCAGATGGAAAGCTTTTGAAACCCGTAAAGCAATCGTATAATGCTATTTTATGTGACTAATATGCATTTCCATTGTAGTCGAATTTACCTCCTTTTCGTTTATCTTAGGAACTTCACGAGATGTATCATGGGAAGGGAGAAAGAACGATAAAGGAAACAGCAAGTCTGGTAGGACTAACATTACCAGATGATCGGGCAAGAGAAGATCCTTTAAAGTAGTAATATATGTTTTACACTAATAGAAGGAAATAGAAAACTTTATTTCACATTTATAAATTACTATAAAATTGAGATTAGTAACATCGTGTTAGTTAGCCATGAACTCTTAGGTACAATTGCGTGGATATCAGTTCGTTGAAAATGTAACGTTACAAATACAGATAATAAAATTCTTCTCTTGTCTGTTGTATTTATAGTGTTTTTTATTAAATGCTAGAAACTACTTAACACAACTGAAGTGGAAATACTAATATACCCCACATTAATGATAAAGTTACTTTAATTTGTACTCAAGCTTGTGTATTTTATAACGTTTTTGACACTTTCTATTTCAGGTGGTATATCAGGTTTTAAGTATTTTTGGGTTGGATTCCTTACAGTAGGTGTCTGTGCTTGTTGGCGATAAATTTCAACAATAAAAAAACAGCACACAGTCCACTTGTTTCAAAATAATATATTAAAACAAGTCAAACATACAAACAAATGTTCGTTATACACTGTTGGTTATCGCAGTTGTATCCAAATCTTCAAATAATTATCTCTTTTTCATCAAAGTCCTCACAGACTGGTTCAATTACTTTAGAACACAATTTAACAAGACGAATTATCCTTCTCTACTCCGTTACCACAAAATAATCTGTGATCATTTCACTCTAACTACAGGGGTCTAGAACGTTCTACATACTACTAGATATTATGTTGCAATAATACTCAATTAAAACAACAAGAAAAACTCAGAATTTTTTAGTAACATGATGCAATAATATAACACTCACCAGTACATAACTATTGAACTACACAATGTATGATTCGTAAACAGTTACGTAAACAAACTTGCGATAAACTATCTCTTCTAAAAATAACTCAATTTAACACACATTAAATTTCAACTGAAACGAGTCGTGTACATCTAATATGGTAGATGAATTTGTTTTATATAAATTCTATAATACTTCATGGATTGATTCAAGTGTGAAACATAAAAGTGACTCGTGTTGGGGGTGTGATGTACTTTTAGATTCTGTAGAAAGGCCGCAAAAGATTGTGATGTGCTACAACATACACGTGGTGCATAGGGAATGTACAAGAATTCCCACCAACAGCATTGTGTCAATGGACGACCTAGGTATTGTTGTGAGCTGAATTATATATGAGCAGCAAGATTACCCACACTACCGTGGTATTGCTGAAAAGGCCAGTAGCTAGGACTATATTCAATCAAGCATGAGTTGGGTTCTTCAACTAGAAAATACATTGCCATAACTTAATGACAGATGCCGACAGACGTGTGGACGTTTATTGTGAACAGTTTAATGGCTGTAGCTGGGAAGGACACATGTCTGGCACATTGTCATTACATTTACGTGTGCCTTAATTTCCTAGGTTTTATAATTATTTTAATCTGAAATGCATCCAACATCAGCAGCATCGAGGATGTCGGTTTTATGCAAAGTATGGTGTCTCTGGTACCCCAATTAACAAAGATTATAGCAACATGATTACAATAAGTAATAGACTTGCATAAGCAACATCTGGACAGAGTGTGGCGTGATGGTTAGCGTTCTTGGACTGTTAATTCGCACTCGGTACATTGAAGCCATGAGTGTGCTGTAAGAGTGTTGGTCAAATCCCATTCTGCTGTTAAAAGTAGGCCAAGAGTTTGTGGTGAGTGTCATTGACTGTCTTCCCTGTATTCCACGAGTTCAAAATTAGAGGCTCCTTGGTGGTTGAGCATTAAGCTGGAAGATTTATTACACTAATACTTGGGTTTCGATCCCCACATTGGGCACAGCACAAATAACTTATTGTGTAACTTTGTGCTTAGCAGCAAAACAAACAAATAAGTAAAAATTATGAGCAGATAGCTCTTTGTAGCTAGTGATCGGCGGATCTCTGCCATGGTGATTGTACATGATCCATAGGTTATATATATATACCCTTGCAATACTGACTGGAGTTTTAACCTGAGAAGGCATTCATCCAACTTGTAGATGAAAAGGTAATATGTACAAAGCGTGGTCACAAGTAAATAGACACCACCTTTTCAGAAAAAATGACATTTTTCAGTAATATTCACATGAATTGATATATTTATAATTTAATTAATATCTAGTAGATCTTCCTTTCGCTTCATGGAGTTTGTTGATCCTTTGGGGCATCGTGAGAATCATCTCGTCAATTGTAGATTGTGGGATTTTCGCCCACTCTTGCTTCAAAACTTGGAGTAGATCCCTCTTCGAAGTTGGTTTTTTAATTGTTTCGTGACTTGCCTGGTTGAGTATGGCCCAGAGGTTTTTGATGT